AGGAAGGGAAATGCCACAAGGGGACCTGCTGTTGCTGCTCTTATGTATGTTCGTGCTGCTACTCTAATGGAGCTACTGCAGTTTAGGGATCTGTTTCTTGGAAATGGACACTATCGTTTTGTTAAAAAGAAAGATGCCTGTTCTTCAAGAAGTGATTGTATCGTGTTGTACTAACACCTAACACTGGGTGGAGAGACTTTCTGGCAAGCATCCCATTGCTGGCAGTGGGACTCACTGTTGCTACTAACATGAAGAAAGGATAAATTAAACCATGTTTATTTGCACGAACAACTTACCCTACTGTATGGATACATGTCTTATTTATATGTTGTGATGTATAAAATAAGTTACTGCATATGAGATCCTTTTTATTATGTATAGTTATCTTAATTAGATACCTGCTATTTATGGAAGAAAGTTCAAATTTGTGTGCAGTGCAGCAACTGATTTTGCTTGTAACTTCCATAACGTATATCATCTTTATGCAAGGCCATTTTTACATATGTCTTGTGATATTTAAAAGGTAGTCCATACTAGAAGCCATCACGTTGCGTCTTCAGCATTCTGGTCAGAAAACACAGATTTTACACATAAGACACAAATAGGTGAATTGTGTGTGTCAGTTTACTTTTAGTTATCTTTTAATTTTTTTTTCCCTTTTTAAGCTGCGGTGAAACCCTTGTCTCCTGTAGAACCAGTGGAACCCATAAATAATTTGGAATCACCTATGAATTCAGATATAGGAAAACAGGATGGCATCCAAGGTAGTGATGATTCTGAAGAAAGAGACTCAAATGCAAAACCACATGCCACTGAGAAAAGGAGGACTGAATATTTGTTTGAAGATCCAGTAACGGTCGAAAACAAAGACATTGCTCCTGGGGAAGGTGCATCTCCAGTGGCTGAAAAAAGAACATGTTATCAGGGTGAAGGTGAAGGTGAAGAATCCATACTACCCATTGTGGATGGACTGGAGACTTCACAGACACCTCTAAGAGATGCATTACAATCCTCCATCAGACATAGGCTGGCTCAGCTCCATATATCAACAGATTTCAACTTTACATCTGGTCTAGCTGCACAGGTTGCTGCCAGATCACTTACTTTTACTACAATGCAAGAACAGACTTTTGGAGATGAGGAGAAGGCGGAAGAGGAGTTGCAGGACAGTGAAAATCATATGCAAGAGAACAATGATGAAGGCACAGTCTCTGAAAATGGAGAAGCATTAAAAGTCCCTGATGAACTTGGTTAAACAATGCATTGCCTACTTGAATTCCATAAAAAGCAGGTGTTGGGAATAGCCAAGGCTTGGGCTTAGAGAAAAACATACCGGCTGGCAGAAACAGAGACAGAAATGTAATATGTACTGTTCCCTGTATTTGACACACTCAGTAGGGTTTGCCAAGTACTTTGATGATATGCAGGTAAGCTAAGGAGTTATAGTGTGTGGACCCAAAGAATAGTTGTGTATCTCCTCCTGATGATACTAATGGGTTTTGGAACATAAATATTTTATGTTTATTTATTTATATGTTTCTTTTTTTTCCTAAAAAGAAGAGAACATTCTTGCTTTCATTTTTAGCAGACTCCATTTTTCATTTCATGATTTTACTTGTCATAGCATCATCAGTTATAACAGAAATAGTCAAAGTGATTCTGTCTGAAGAACGTAAACTGTACTGTGTGATCCTCCCTACCACCTTTCCTTCATCTTTACTGTCTTCTGTATTTGGGTTAACTATATTAGGTATTTGTAACTTCAAGACTAAGAATGCTCCCGAAGCTAAATTTTAAATAAAAACATGAAAAACCTAATAATGTATATGTCCTGGGATATTGGGCTAAAGTAGTATGAATTTAGCTGCATATCATATAAAGATTCCAAATATAGTTAATAAAGGGTGAATAGATGATTGATAAGAGTTTATAATTGCATTATAGAAAGTTTTAGTATGTGTTATAGAAAATTTATAAACACATTAGTAGAAAGTACTATAGATGGTTAGAAGTAACTTGTTGGACTTGATTAGCAGTTGATTATTGATTTATTAAAACACCTATTAATTGTTCATTGGCCCTTTGTAAACTGAATCTTAATATAAAGTTTAACTTAGATTATTTGCACAGGGTTACAAAACACAGTGCTGTATATGTTTTGTTGTACATCTCTATTCATGTCCTGGAGTAAATTCTTAGGCTAAGTTAAATGAGTAGTTTCTTTAAGGTTATACAGTAATTTTGTTTAGATGTCATAGCTGCTATTTTCTAATGTTGTTTCACTTTTCTTTTGATAACGTGTTTGATAAAGAAATCAGCAGAGACCATGAACTTACTCCATTCTAGTTAAGCTGTATCTTGTAACCCAGTTGAAATCTAAATTGAAACATTCAATATAGGCCTGTATTAGTTCTTTGATGTGGAAAGTAGCTCTGCCCTGGAAAAAGGCACCCCTCTAGAGAAGGGGAGAGCCATGGTTTCAGTGGGTGCTTTGATACAGCCCTCTGATGCATCTCCCAAGTAAGGGTTCCATGGCTCTGAGTGAAACAGATTTCCAATCAGAAATCACCCCATTAACAGCTCTTGTTAATTCTTCTCTACACTGGCTGACAGCTTGTGGTAGGAGTATGAAGCAGTATGGACTCAAAGGCAGCACCATTTCTGAGGGTATTGTGCTGCCACAACGGAAGGGGGAGACAAGGGAACTCAATGAATGTCTCTGTTCCTGAAACAGAATTTCTTGACCATTATGTGGCAAGACAAATCCTGCCATGCACCATTTCTCCTACTCTGGTAGTGATTAGGAGAAAAGGCTGTGAATATAAATATATGACATTTCACAACCCCTAAATAAGGATAATATAAATAGAGGGAGCATGTGGGTTTGAATTATTGTTTGCACAATATAAACTGTTTTCTTCCTGGTTTTGTACTTCTCTTGCACAAAGACTGTGGGAGGAGAATGTATTAACATGTTTCATTAGCCTGTGATTCTGTTTTCTATGCCCTTATGTATATGTAGGTAGGTAGAAGTTATGTAGAATGAATTGTATCTGGGGAGGATTTGCAGAAATGTGGTATTTGCTCAACTACGATGTATGCAGCAGTCAAGCATCCTGTCAAGTAGTAGAGTTTGTTCTACTCAAGGCCAGAGAGTGATCTACTGAGAAAATGGAGTTCTTGATATCATTTTCAATATGATGGTTCTTTAGAACAACTGAATAGATAGAGTTGGGAGACTGTCAGTGCTAATTAAAAAGGTGTCTTCCTTGTCCTTGACTTGAGAACCTTGACTTCACCAAGTGCCCTGGGTTTTTTTTGTTTTTAGCTAGTTGTTCATATTATCTAGTTTTATTTTGTAACTGACTTTATCCCACCAATGCACCCACCAGCGTTTTGTGACCTACTGTGTATCTCAGTGTTATTTTTTCCCCAAATTTGAATCGTGGGATCCAATATCCTTCAAATTGACTGTAAGCTGTTGTGATTTGATTCTTGCAAAATTTTCTGTGGTCTGATTTGTCACTATTCTCGGATGATTTAAATGGGAGCTACAGATGCTTAGCCTTACAGCAAAAGTAGATCCAAACCTCTATATTGAGGCAGTAGCTTTTACATTTTCTTTGTTGCAAGCCTGGCAAACAACCCAAAGAATGAACAATTGCTGGTCATTTGGTGTTAGCAGTTTGTGTGAGAAAATAATAGATCTTTGGAGCTCGTCATTTTAGATATTTTTTTTCCTTCAAACCAATATGTTTTGTGTAAGCAAATGAACTGGCTATTAAATACAAATAAAATGGACAAACTTTGTGTGTTCTTGAAAATAACACATTCCTTTTCTGTGTGGCTGCCCATTTCTCGCATTGCATCCATTTAGGATTCCATACAAAGCCGACCTGTTGAGTAATTTATTTGAATTGATATTGATGTAATTCCTCCCTGCAAAAGAATCTTGTTAAAAATCTACTTCAGATAAAGAATGGGATTAGATTTGATAATCAGTTACTTTGATAACTTTATTTGATTTGATAACCAGTTTCCAGCTACATATAAATAGATTCTGTTGTAATCCAGATTTCCTCGTGATGATGTCTGTGGAAAGGCCTGTGTGTCCAAGTGTAGTTTCCAAAAATCTGCTAGGTGTCCTATCCATTTTCATTTATTTCTATAGTTAAAAAAAAAAAAAAAAAAAGCATATGAAAGAGTCTGCTGTAGAACTCAAGACCCAGGTTAGTATATTGTGACTGTTGAGGTACTGTGCCCCTGTGTCCTTTGGCTTAAGGATTGGAGAATGAAAACTAAATAAGAAAAGAGCTCTTACTTTTTAGGATTTGTTTTTGATTTTGAAATATTTTAGTATTAATTTCATAGTTTCATAGTTTCTAGGGTCGGAAGGG